GTAAAAATAAATCAGTTAAAACGTTACACAATGCATGTTGGTGGTCAATTTGAATGAAGTTCCGAGTTACACTCATCATCGAAACCGCTAAAAATATCCTGCTGCGGCATGACTTGAGCAAATGAAGTCATTCATACGAAAAATCCTTACCCAAATTATTTTGGCGTCGTTCTAAGAAAAAAAATTTTTTTCTCAGGCCTTTTTTTTTTATGATTGTAAGATTATTTTAGGGAATTCAAAAACAGGTTTTCCTTTTGATTGTAATTGGAGTAACTTTATCAAGAAATATTTCGTAAATAACGCGTATTCCGATGTTCCTTAATCCGTTACACCACTTTATTTATAATTTTTTGTTTCAAACAATAAAAAATATTTCACGAAAAATTTTCATATATAAATGGACTTCGAATGACCAAGACTTTTTTTTTCTCATCAAACAATTTCAAAATATAAAACAAAAAAAAAAAAATAATTTTTTCAAAAATAATCTTATATAAAAGAATAACTTGTAAGTGTTCTATTGTTTGTATTATTTTTGCATGAAAGAAATTAATTAAATTAATTTTATTTTATTTTATTTTTATTTTTATTTTTTTTCGTAGTTAAAAGCTAAACGGATATAAATCAAAAAACAAAAATGAAACAATTCCTCAGATTATTTCTCGTTCTCGTTTTCATCACTGCCGTATTTGCAGCTCCAATGACGAACTTACGCAAGCGTCTCGGAGATGAGAAGGATTGCAAAACAAAATCAAAATTATCTGATGATGAGGCCTTTAAAGATAACGTACCAGTAGAAAATGATGATACAAATTATTGTCCCGAACCCGCCAACAATTAAAAAATTACGTTTTTAAAAAAAAAAAAAATTTTTTAATATATTTTAGAATTTAGAGAATCATTTTTCTTTTTTTTTTTTGGTTCCACAACAATGTACTATAATAATAAAAAGTCCAGCCTGTAATTGTTAATATATTTTGATTATCATCATTTTTTATTTTTCCTTTCTTTATATGTATTTACTATTTCCTTGAAATAAAATTTTCGGTGCAAAGCATAATATTTAAATAATATTTAAAAACAATGTACAAAATGCATATGACGCAGTAATTACAAATGAATTTGTTTTACAATATTTATAAAGTTTCTTTCTATAATGAACCAAAACCAACACCACCACCTCTGATTCTCGAAACCGAAGAGCTCAAAAGTATTGGTTCCGATACATTAGAATGCAAATACATGGTTCTCTTCAATGCGTTTGACTCTGATCACATTTTTTTCTTTCAAAATCAAAAAAATGATGAAGCGAAAAGTCAGACAACAATAAATTGCATTTATGGGTTCAGCGAGATTTGCCGAGACGCGTTGGAGTAAATACTATCAGTTTTACATTATGGGTCCTTTGCAATAGAAAGGGAGGAAATTACCGGGAAACTAAAAATGAACTAAGCTGAATTTTGATTTGATTATTTTGCAAAATACTTGGATAATGATCAACTATGAAAATCAAGCTTCAAAAAAGTTGCGAAAGTTTTTGTCCGTTACAGATGAAATTAGTTGCTAGAGACGAAGTACGGTGGCAACAAGTTGACTCATCAATATTTATTTTTTCAAAGACACTATTGCTATTCATGTATAGACATTTTTCATACCATTATAACTTCATATTACTTTGAATTTTCTATTTGAAATTAACCATTTCAGATTGCAAGCTTACCTATTTTCGCTGAAAAACCGATTAGATATTTGTATGGGTCATGAAACAAGAGTAAATTCGCAATTCTCAAACAATTTCCATTGATGCCTACCCGTAAAGAGGCATATATTCAGCTTTGTGATGCCTTTAGGGGTACGTTCGTACACTAAATACTCGACTCATTAATTGTCAACGTCATAATTTCTCCATTCAGGATATGTGATATAATAAAATCGGAAAATACGAAAAGAACAAGAAACGCTCCCAAAAGATGCATAGCCGAGCCCACCATTAACATTTAATTGCATGGATGAGGGGAACCATCCTCATCGTAAACAACGGTTACCTTCGCCATTGGCTTTGCTTTTATTCGGGCTATACATACTGTACAAGATGAAAAGA